AACATGTAAATAAGGGCTAAGTTTGGGTGTAACCGAACATTTTATAATTATTAAAAAAATGTTGCGAAAGAGTCCAACTTTCATTATTCGACGAAATCGTGAAATTTAGTATTTTATTAAGTTATATTATATGAAAATCATCTTTAAATGAGATAGTATATATGATATTAATTCAACCAAAGATCGAAATTCATTATTTTAAGGATATGAGATTTATACCAAGGTCTGCAGCAACTCCTTGCATATTCAGCGCTAAACCACATAGTTTGGAGAAAAATTTGTCCCCTTAATTTCATTAAAACATCACACATTTACCAACAGTTTAAAGTTATAATATTAGCTGGAAAGTTGGAAGTCGCTATATAGGATATATTTATTACAGATAAAGGTCTGGGCTTGTTGCATTAACCTTTGGCATTGCTCAAATAAACTCGAGAACATATTTTCAGGAAATTTATAAATAAATAACTCATACACTGACCAGCATATTCATCATAAGGTTTGTTAAAATAACGAAAATCATTATAAATAGTACAACGTTAACCAATAGGGATGACGTGATTTTGACAGCCCGGTGCGGCTATATCGCACGTGTGGCTAAGGATACGCAATTGTATTCCCAAAAATTTACCGTTTGGTGCGGATTGTGGTATGGCGGCATCATCGTTTGGTGCGGATTGTGGCGCAGATCTTTTGAAATTAGGCAGGAAAAGCCGTTACCATCAATATCGAGCGTTATAACACGATGATGATCGACTCCATTTCCCCGAAATTTGATGAAATCGACGCGGACGATCTCTATTTCCTCATTTTCAAAATTTCGGTAAGGAGGCTAAAAATATGTGTCCTGAACAAACTTCTGTTGCTTTAGTAGTTTAGGAGATCCTACCTATTATATTGTAGTTTGGACCCACGACCATTTTTTTAATATTTTTATACTCTGAACAGGGTATATTAAGTTTGCCACGATGTTTGTAACACCCAGAAGGAAACGTCGACGACCCTATAACCTATAGTACATATATATAAAGGATCGGCATGCTGAGCTGAGTGGATTAGCCATGTCCGTCTGTTCGTCTGTCTGTATATATACAAACTAGTCCCTCAGTTTTTAAGCTTTCGATCTGAAATTTTGCATCTGTCCTTTTCTTACTAATAAGCTTCTATCAGACCACTGTAGCATATAGCTGTCATACAAACTGAACAATCGGAATCAAGTACTTGTTACTTGGAAATTCTTTTATTTGATGTAATATCTTCACGAAATTTAGCATGAGTTGTTTTCTATAGCAACAATCATCATATAGCAAATAGCTGCGATACAAACTGAACAATCTGGATCAATTGATTGTATAGAAAACTTTTTCATTTGACATTTGACATATGTATAGATCGGATCAATATAGCATATAGCTGCCATACAAACTGAACGATCGGAGTAAAGTGCTTGCATTGAAAACTTTTTCATTTGACATGGTATCTTCACGAAATTAGGCATGGGTTATTGGCAATAATGCAATCTTCGAAGAGATTGTTCAGATTAGATCAGTATATCATATAGCTGCCTTACAAATTTAATGATCGGAATCAAGTTCTGTGAAGGTGCAACCGAAGTTAACGTTTTTTCTTGTTTAAACTACAAATGCCCTTCCCATAATCCAATACTAAATTACAATCTTGAATCTTATTGTGGAGCTTAGTTATGGCAAAGATGGTGGCAGTGGTCCGATTACGCCCATCTGCAATACCAACCGTCTTACGGTACCAAGAAACATATGTACCAAGTTTCATAAAGACATCTCAATTTTTACTCAAGTTACAGCTTGCACAGGCGGACGGACGGACAGACAGTCACTCGTTTTTCAACTCGTCTCTTCATCCTGATCATTTATATTGTATATATATAACCCTATATTTAACTCGATTAGTTTTAGGTAATACAAACAACCGTTAGGTGAACAAAACTATTATACTCTGTAGCAACATGTTGCAAAAGTATAAAAATGATATTTTAAATCATAAGCATACGAGATATATTGAAAGGAAAGGGTGAATTTTGATTTTTCGCAGGCTGTGTACATTCGCTTATCGATATTTTGTTTTAGGTTTAATCGGACACATATGTTTATCATGTGCTTGCATTATCAACCAATTTCGATTAGTAGTTTGTGTTTGACAATAGAAAAGGTGAGTCACAATTTTGTATGCTCTTCGATTTTTAACTTTCGAAAGAAATGGATCAAATATGCTTTGCCTCAAAAAAGTGTTAATAAGTGGTATAAGTGCTTTAGAGAATTTCGAGAAGATGTTGATGATGATTCGCATCCTGGAGGTGCGACCGCGTCAACAAGCGAAGAAAACATCAAAACAGTGAAAAATCGTCGAATCACTATTAGGGAAGTTGCAGAGGATGTTGGCATATCAATCAGCTCATGCCATTCAATTTTCTCGAAGGTTTTGGGAATGAAACATGTGCAGCTAAATTACAAATTCGTAATCATGCCTCAACCACCGTATTCACCAGATTTGGCTAGCTGCGACTTTTTCCTATTCCCAAAACTGAAGCAACCAATGAAAAGAAAGCGTTTGCCACAATTGCCAATTGATGCAGCATTTCAGAAGTGCTTCGACGATTAAAAAAAAGCGTGGGCACAAGTGTATTATATCCGAGGGTGATTACTTTGAAGAGGACAAAATAGATATTGATGAATAAATAAGTACTTTTCAAAAAAATGCAAAAGTTACCTTTTTTTTCGAACACACCTCGTATGTTATGTTCCAAATTCACGTAACAAGGTATTTATAATATCACAACAGCAAACCTCATTGGCAGTTGCATCGTCAGGCTTTGCGGCAAATCAAAAAGATCACAGGAAATATTATTGAAGTAACCACTTTACAAATTTAGCTGGACCAAGAATATTATTCAACAATAAATATAATTATTAAAAATTCAGAATGATCTACCCTGGCTACCCTATTAATTATCTTAAATATTATCAACTAACAGTTTTGAAAATTACTCATCTGTTACATACTAGAAATTAAAATTATTTATAACTTTTTTATTTATAAATTATAATAGAAACGTTGATCTTATGTTGATTTCTGCTCTTCTTATGTTATAACCCCGTGGATTTTTATACCATCTACAACGTTTTCGTCTTTATTCATAAGAAATATTTGACTGTATTAAATAAATTAAAATAATATAATTTAATGTATACCTTAGCCACGCCGGGCAGGGGTGTTCTAATAATAGTATATAAAATGTCATAATAATATAATAAATCGATAAGTGAGCAAAATAATGAAACGTGTCATTTTGTTTTATACCAGTTACACCTAAATCTTTTTCAAGCCCAAAGTAACAAAATCATGCCTCACACTGTTTTTACTCTTTCGGAACTATAACTGTTCTCTTATTTGATTTTTACGCGAAAAACTAATTGTCCAACACTTTCTTCAAGTTGCATTAAACGCTATTGTTGCCTTGCTCTCCGCCAGCTGCCGCTTACAGCAGACTGACCACAGTGCGAAACTAATTTCGCTTTTATTTGTTCGCTGCGATTTTTAATCTCTCGAAAAAAGTTTTCCACCACACAACTTCGTACTTTGGAGGGCTTCACGAGCAAAGCGGCTAATAAAAACTACAGAAAGTAAAGTCAAAAGAAAGACGCATAACACTTTGAATAGCTGGATAAATGGCGAGCTGCAGCACTTACAGAGCATTTGTGTTGCAATAACAAAATAAAATAAAGTACTAGACACGGCAACAACACCCAATAACTGTGCAAAGTTTTTGCTTTTAAGCCAAATCCTTAAAAGATCCTTTACACATAAACTTTTGCTTTTCTTGTTCCAGGCACAACAACCCTTCGCAATCGCAAATCGAGTTTATCGTTTACCCAATTTTAAGCGCTTGCACCTATATTGTTGCGTTTTTGTACCGAGTACAATCGAACTTGAAGCAAGAAAAAACTGCTCTGCTTGATGACTTTTGACACATGAATACAGATTCAGTATTTGCATACAAATTGTTGACATGTTTTCGTTTAGAACTCTTTGTAATAAATATAAATTTCAAATTTAACGGTTCTAACAGATGTAACATGCCTATCAATAAACTTTTAATAACTATTAAAGACAATAGTGATAACATTTAGAAATAATGTATCCAAGCATGGCAGTGCCCTGGAATCCTTTAATGGTACCGACCAGCAATAAGCCAATATCACTTATACAACGTGAGATACGGATTACTAAAGTAAGTTATTGGAAAAAATGGATTTCTTTTTACTTAACCTGCTATTTCAACTCGACAAGTGAGATCCCGAACCTATGCAGATCTGCAGCACCAATATATAAATGTCTAGAGCAAATTTAATGTTAAATTTGAAACCCAATTTAGTTTGTTAGGGGTTGAAAAAAGGGGAAAAAATAATACGATGACTGCCATACTTAAGATTTTTTAAATAAAGGAAAATTAAAAATTATTTGATCATATCTACTCATACCAGTAGATCCTGAGTAGATCAGCTGCTGTGACTATGGTATACAATAAATACTATTATAGAAACCTATTCAAAACAGTGAAAATATAATTTATAAATAATTGTCCGTTAAAGAATTCAATGTGCTAAATTTTACTAAAATCGGTTCAGTAGTTTAGGAGTTTGCACCGGATAAAACGTGGCATGTGATTTTTTATCTATTTTTATATATTATATATACCAGGTAGATGTACTCGCACGTCCAATATATATTCTCTTGCTATTACATTTGGTTTAAATTCAGATCAATTACTTTCAATTTCACTCAAAACGAATTACAAATTTTTGAGCGAAACTGATCACGACCAGACGTTGTGCAAAATATGTATATTATATTCAATTGGAATTAAGAAAGTGATTAATAATGTGCTTTTGTATTTTCCATTTACTGGAAATTTAAAATATAATAATGAAGAACTGAAAACTATTTATGATTCTGTGACTTACAATTTCCCGTTGCAGCTTTGCTATATTAAAATTTGCTTGTGCCAATCGCACGCTCAAAGTGGCAACATCACTGGTCAATTGCGCTCTCTCGCCAGTATTGCGATCCACCAATTTAAGAAGTTTATCTTCCAAACTTTGATTCACCTTTTGCACACGTTTATGTGACTCATACAAACGATCATATTTATCTTGCCACGCAATGACACTATCTTCCAATTCAACTTGGCGTTCGGTCTCCTGTATACATGCTGTTTCCATGGCGACAATTTGACTGTGTTTCTCGAGCAGAGCCTGCTTGAGTGCCTCGATTTCGTTAGTGGCCGCAATCAAATGCGCTTCGCAATGATTGCTTGGCTGGAAATAAGACAAGAGAAATAAAATAAGCCGTTAGTGTCAAGTGAGTTATTTGTAAAATGACGTTTGCAAAACGTATTAAAGGATTAGACTAATTATGTAATGCATTTCCTTTATCATACAATAATCAAATCCTTAATTAGACTGATTAGGTTAGTCTAGTTCAATGGCACATCATGGCAAGAAGGGATCACGCTTCCACTGATGAAGTGTTTGTGAAAAACTCCTGTAATATGATTCTTATCGCTCTGTTTCTATTTTCACAAGTTCCCTTAGATGGTAAAATAAACCCGAGTGTCTACGTCTATTCCTAGAGTGAATATATAGTGAGCTCATGCAATAAATGCACATTATTCCTAGAGAACCGAATGCTTCTTTTTTACCTGATTCTTTTCTAATAACAAATCACCAAGGCGAAACAGTCAAGCAAGAAGTATTGAGATGGTTTTACTTCGCCTTTTTCCAAACAACTTCTGAAGCTGGCTGGTTGGATTTTTCCTTGGCAAAATTGTTGTAAGTTGCCAGTTAAAACCTGCACAGTTCAAAAAATATAAACTTTACTCAGGATGACTAGATCTCATGCAATTTACAATGGACCAGAAGGACTGCGCAAGTGCTAATAGTACCTGTGGTCATCAAACCCACGCGATTCCAGCAACCCAATATTAAACAATTTAGCATATAAAAGAAGCTTAAATCATATTGATAATTATTTCGAAGTAGCCAAGAAAAATTTGGAAGTTTTAATAATTAAAAAGGTTCATTGGGTAACCAATCCCTTACTTTAATTTATTTATTTGACTTGTGATTTATTGGAAATTCCGTTTAATTTTTACCCCACGGTGTGAGATCTCAACTGAGTGGAACATTCTCTAGTTCTCCAACGAATATGTTCGAACATTTCGAGGCATGTTTTTTTAATATAAGGTATTGCCTATAGAAACCATGTTTGCTCTTTTCAAATTTTTAATGTCGAATTATCTTTCGTTTTGCTTTGCCCTAGATATTATTATTTACATTTTACTTGTAGTTTGAATTAGTTGAAAAGTATTTGATTTAAATAAAATCCCTACAAGAAACAGCTGATGGGTTCACCAATACATTCAAATTTTTTATGTCAAATCTATCAAAGATGAAAATTGTCTGTTATGACTGTAAGTCTATCACAAGTGAAAGATTCTTTTGCGCAGTATATAATACAATTTTTATTTATTTAATAAATTCAAAACTTTTAATTATGTACTTCTATATTATTATAACTAGAATAATATACGAGTACATAAATATAAAAAACGAGTGCATCAAAAATATATTTAACAAGTAAGGAAAGGCTAAGTTCGGATGTAACCGAACATTTTATACTCTCGCAAAGTCAAATTGTATACTCGTTTTAGATTTCTTTGTGGATCTTGCCGCCTTGTTCTATGTTGACCGATATTTTCAGTAAAAAGTCAGCTATAGGCACTGGGGTCCACATATTCATTACCTAGGGGCTTGAACAGTTTTGACTCGATTTAAACAAAGTTTTACCCCGATACAATCATTTTTGCTTGATATGCATAGTGGTAAGTGACAGAATCAGATATGGGAAATAGGCGTGGTTGTAGTCCGATTTCGCTAATTTTCGTACTATAACATAGATATATGAAAAGAACGTTCTGCACCGAATTTGGTTGAAATCGGTTAAGCAGATCTCAAGATATGGGTTTTCTACTAAAAGTGGGATGGGCCACGGCCACTGTCTAATTTTGAACGCGGTTCCTATAAAGTCATCTCTCTATCACAGAGATAAAATTTAATGTCTCTGGCGTGTTTAGTGCTTGATTTATCGCGCTTTTAGTAGTTTTTAACAGTACCGTTATGTGGGGAGTGGACGGAGTTGCCACCCGATTTCACGCATTTTCACAATGTAGGTAGAGGTTCTAAAAACATTTTCTTCCAGTGAATTTTGTTATTATAGCATTAGCGGTTTAGGAGACATGCACATTAAACCTATTAGGGGCGGGACCACGCCCACTTTAAAAAAAAAATTTAACTGAAGATGCCCCTCCCTATTGTGATCCTGTATCCCTTATAAGAGTCTTGTATCTTGTTGTGGAGCTTAGTTATGGCAATTTATTTGTTTTTGAATAATGGCATTTTGTGGGCGTGGCAGTGGTCCGATTACGCCCATCTGCAATACCAACTGTCTTACTGTACCAAGAAACATGTGTACCAAGTTTCATAAAGATAGCTCAATTTTTACTCAAGTTAGAGCATGCACGGACGGACGGACAGACGGACAGACAGTCAACGGATTTCAACTCGTCTCTTCATCCTGATCATTTATATAATATATACATAACCCCATATCTAACTCGACTAGTTTTAGGTGATACAAACAACCGTTAGGTGAACAAAACTATTATACTCTGTAGCAACATGTTGCGAGAGTATAATAATAAAATATAACAAGTAAGGAAGGGCTAAGTTCGGATGTAACCGAACATTTTATACTCTCGCAAAGTCAAATAGTATACTCGTTTGAGATTTCTTTGTGGATTGGCTGATATTTTCGGTAGAAGGTCAACTATAGGCACTGGGGTCCACATATTTAGTACTTAGGGGCTTGAACAGTTTTGGTTCCATTTAGACAATTTTTGGCCACAAGGTGGCATACTTTAATCGCATTATTCACGCTAAGTTTTATCCCGATACAGTCATTGTTGCCCGATTTGCATAGTGGAAAGTGAAAGAATCAGATGGAATTTAAAGTGGTGTTATATGGGAAATAGACGTGGTTGTAGTCCGATTTCGCTTATTTTCGTACTATAACATAAATATATGAAAAGAACGTTCTGCACCGAATTTAGTTGAAATCGGTTAAGCAGATCTCAAGATATGGGTTTTCTACTAAAAGTGGGATGTGCCACGCCCACTGTCTGATTTTGAACGCGGTTCCTATAAAGTCATCTCTCTATCTCAGAGATAAAATTTAATGTCTCTGGCGTGTTTAGTGCTTGATTTATCGCGCTTTTAGTAGTTTTTAACAGTACCGTTATATGGGGAGTGGGCGGAGTTGCCACCCGATTTCACCCATTTTCACAATGTAGGTAGAGGTTCTAAAAACATATTCTTCCAGAGAATTTTGTTATTATTGCATTAGCGGTTTAGGAGATATGAACATTAAACCTATTAGGGGCGGGACCACGCCCACTTTAAAAAAACAAGTTTTTAACTGCAGATGCCCCTACTTATTGTGATCCTGTATACCAAGTAAGAGTCTTGTATCTTGTTGTGGAGCTTAGTTATGACAATTTATTTGTTTTTGAATAATGGCGTTTTGTGGGCGTGGCAGTGGTCCGATTACGCCTACCAACTGTCTAACGGTATCAAGAAACATGTCTCCCAAGTTTCATAAAGATATCTCAATTTTTACTCAAGTTAGAGCTTGCACGGACGGACGGACAGACGGACAGACAGTCACCCGGATTTCAACCCGTCTCTTCATCTTGATCATTTATATAATATATACATAACCCTATATCTAACTCGATTAGTTTTACATGATACAAACAACCGTTAGGTGAACAAAACTATTATACTCTGTAGCGACATGATGCAAATGTACAAAAATGGGCTTCACATCTGTCATGTAACTCTTGCAGATATATTCTGGGTACTGAGTTTATTTCCTCTTTTTGAATAATAAATATTAACTATTTTGATAACGATAATTAGGTTATATCATAATATGTTACGTTTTATTGTAGACTGGTACCGAGATGAAAAAAGAAGACTGAAGTTTGCAGTGCCGAGAATTTAAAGGGGACCAGGTGATTATTTTTCAAATATTCGAAGCATTTTTTTTAAAGCTTTCAGGGGCCCTGAAATATAAAAAAATTATGGATTGTGATATTTTTCTGAAGTTACTTAGCAATGAGGAGAAAAAAGCCTTTTTAAAGCAGTAGTGCAGATTAGATAAATTTATTGATAATAAGGCAACAAAGTGGGCAAAACAAGGAGAACTTCTACGGAACCTTTGCAGGAAAAGTAAAGCTTTTCATTTTTGAACATGTAGAGTCTATTTTAAAATCTTTATTGCAAGAAGGAATCCTAAATGGATGATCGGTATCTCTTAATAAATTATTTATATATAAAATTTTTGTGTATTTTCAATTTTTACTTTTTTGTACATACATAAAAGCAAATGCAGAACTTTTTTATTCTTCTTCTTTTGACGTATAAATGCAACAAAAATAAGGTAGGTATAACCGTGTCCAAAAATGCTGTTGACCTGTGTAATGTGCTTAATGTTTATAATTTGCAAAAAAAAAACTTAATTAAATAAACTATCAAAAACTATAAATAAGCATTTTTACTTTTTGAGATGAGTAGAAATTGTTGCACTGAAAAATGTTTGAAAAAATGACAAGCAAATAGGGCAGAATTAATACAACATTTTTGTGAGAAACACGAACATAAAAAATGCAGCTCGTTATATACATATGAATACAAAAGAAATAACATAGTCTGATTTTGATATTGTCAATCAAATATTAAGATCAAATTGTTATTTGTGTTGTTTTTGACTAAAATATCATTATACATCTTTATAAAGGACTATGATCGATTATCGCTAAAATACAAACCAATAGTCAAACTCAAAGACACTCGAAACAAACCTTTTGGCTTCAAGTAGACCTACGGATCCTTAACATATTATTAAATTGACAGAATAGTGAAAACAAATTTATCCAACCCGCCGTAGTGACAAGCGTTCGGTCAATCAGCCTCAGCACGTAAAACTTTAAACGAGTTTTTTTTTTCGAAAATTAATTTTTCGAATCGGGCAACGATGGTACTCAGAGACTATAGCATGTATTTACTTGTATATTAATTGTAGCTTCACAGTAACATTATATAGTAAAAATTGAGAAAAATGTATGTAAAACTAAAAATCTTAAAGATTAAGATCCCGCTTTTATTCTGTTTCAGATAACCCAAGTTCTTAGCTCACA